TTTGGTTTTTTGAGACAGGGTTTCTCTGTGGCTTTGGAGCCTGTCCTGGAACAAGCTCTTGTAGACCAGGCTGGTCTCAAACTCACCACCGCCGGGCAGAAGTTGAAGATTCTGAGATATGGGATTATTCAAAAAACTAAGTCCATGGGCCAATGGGTAAGACATAGGCCTGAGCTTGGGTAGAAGGACTGGCCACTGGGGTAAAAGTAGGCGACACTCCATTTTGATCTTAAAGCTGTGGCCATAGAGCTTCGACACGACACGACACCTGTGTTGACAAACTACTGTTCCTGCTGCAATGGTTTCTCCTGACACCCAGCCCCATCAGCCTCTCCCCTCACATGGAACCTCTTCTCCATAATAGGCATGCTTACATTGACACACCAACCTGGAATCTCAGCTTTAACAACTTGAGAAGAGCTTGTGCAGACGCCTGGATACACCCGTACTGTCACACTCCTAGATAATTGGCCGTGTATTGGCCACACTGCTCTTTCCATTGAAGGCCGCAATCACACACACTTAACAGCAGGTCATGTTCTATTAGTCACAAACAAGTTTCTCAAATAAAGCCTGTGTTGCCACAGCATAATCATAGTTAGACATTGTAAATGAACACCAGCCTCATATTTGTCCAGTTGTATCTATTTCTCTCACATAACACCCCTTGCCTCACCACTATTTTTATTCGTGTAACACATCAGTCTCAATATTCTGTGACTGCCTTATACACAAACCAGACTCACCACTATGACTCCGGCTCTTGAATACACGCCTCATATACACGCCTCACCAGCCGCCCACACAAGCACCCTCACAAATCCTTTCCTGTCTGTCATACATGTATTCTCTCTGCCTCACACTCAAAAAAAAAAAAAAAAAAAAAAAAAAAAAAACAATCTGCCTCCATCTGGGTCCCAGTGACACGCACCGAGGATCCGCATGGAACAAGGCCAGGTGGAGGCGCTGCAAGACAGGTCTGGGCAGGGCGGGGCGGTGGCCCTCCGGTGGCTGTCGCTCGCTCCGGACTCTGCCCGGGCCTGGGCGGCGGCTGCAGGCTGGAGGGCGACGTGGAAAGGCCACGTGGAGCCGCCCGGGGGAGGGCCAGCTGCGGGCAGCCAGGCTAGGACGGCGCGGTGCCCATAGCGCGCACGAAGCCGGAGCCCCAGTCGCCCGCAGCACCACCGCAGCAGGTGGGTCGGACTCGGGGAGGGGCTGGGGCCCAGCGAGCGGTGGGAGTACCGGGCTCCTTGCGGGTGAGGGTGGAGACCTTCTGCCTGCAGTCAGGATGCCGAGAGCGCAGTCCTCCGCATCCCCTACGGCTTGGACTCGGCTGGGGTGGGGGTGGGGGGCGGTGCTCTGGCCTCCTATTACCGCTGGGGAAGAGGTCATCCCTGAGAGCAGATATGGGAAGGGTGCAAAGCGCCCCGCGAGGCCCCTGGGTTTGATGACAGGTCCAACAGCCCTGGCCGGTAGGGTTCATCCTCATTCAGTAGTTGGAGATGATTGAAAGGACGCTGCCCATCGTCATCCAACCATAGCTGGCTGAGCTCTAGCTCAGGTGTGCGCGCCTCTGGCTGCATAACTGCAGTCATTTAGGACTCCCCTCCCTATATCTGGACACTAGGGGGCAAAATCAAGGAAGATGACTAGATTCACATAACTTCTCCACGGTGGTCAGAGTTGTTCAGAAATGACATGGATGCCCTTCATGGTGCCAGCTTTTGTCCTGGAAAGGTTCAAGAGAGATATTATGGCTATTTGACGGAATACTGTAAAAGAAATGTATCCAACAGCTGGGAAGCCATATGAGCTAAGCCTCCAAAGGCCCCTGCCACATTGTGGAGCATCTGCTGGCCCTAGCTTAAACCTCCCGAAGTCCCTATGAAACACCCTCATCTTACTAATGAAGACCCCAGGGCTAAGAGAAGTTAAGACACCGGCCTGGACCACATAACAGTGGAGAGGCAAGATCTGATCAAAGGTCCAACCTCAAGGCCAAACTCCTCCTGTGAACTAGGGCAAAGGCCTAAAGAAATTGGAGGCAGAAGGCAGTGTGTGTGTGTGTGTGTGTGTCAGTGTGTGAGAGTGAGTGAGAGT